AATACTTAAAACTGTGGAATTGTCTTTGCACTTTGTAACAAAATATTAAACAACTGGCATTTATTTAAGAGAGATAAAGCACAAGCACATTTTCAAGCAAAAAAACAAAACAAAACAAAAATTTTCTTGTTAAAATTTGCTATTTGTTAAACGCTGTTAAGAACCTCATACTTCAATGACTAATATTGACACTAGTCGCCTAAAAACTAGCCCAGAAAAGAGAAAATGTCATTTTTAGCTGACAATTTGTTGACAAATTTTTATAACACAACAATATTCCTATATTTTTAAGTGTAACTTGAGTGTACAAAGGCATCCAAATACTTTTTGGTGATCATAACTAAAATTCTTTTATCTTTAGTGCAGGAATACATGATCATTGCGCTGAACCGACACTGACTCTTTCTGTTTAAAAATTAACATGCACAGAGGTATATGTGTCAAAATGGATACCTTTCCTTGTCAAGTTACAGAGCCACTGGAAAATTCTGCCTGCCAAGAGGCTGAGGTCTGGGTTTTACTGGATCCTGAGCTGTGAGATGATCGCCCAAAGCATCTATATGAACAGCAGCATCTCCTTTCACTCGCTACTCGCTGTGACATCATCATCAACACTATCAGGGTTGAGCCAATAGGAATTTGAGGTGCTATAACCTCTGACATTTAACTTCTCTGCCTGTTTTCCATCACGCTGTGTAATTTGACACAGAAATGCCAGCATAAGGTACCAGTGTGTTTGTGAACTCCAGAGGTCTTGACTTTTTACATCACAAATACAATCTCTTGCAAACTGGTTTAAATAGCCACTCACGCATAGCTAATTTTCACTGACTGTTTGTTATTTCTTAGTAAAAAGTTTTTTTTTAAATTATTATTTAAAAATGATTAAATTATTTCATGGTCAGCTTAGATTGAAGTTATAAAAACCATTATGGCAACAGTTATGTATTTGAATGTAGTTCAATATATTAAAAAGGTGCAATTTAATACTCAGCTGAGTCCCAATTCAGAGGCCGCGTCCTTCGAAGGCGCATTTGAAGGCTGAGTGTGTCACAGCGGCGCGATAAAGGCTGTTCCAGGTCGAAGTCTCCTTCAAATGCAGCCTCCAAATGTGTCCTTCTTTTCCTGGTTAATGGAGGGCTACCAGAGCCGGCCCGAGCCTTTTGGGGGCCCTAAGCAGAATTGGATTTGGGGGCCCCTCCCACTACGCGGAGTCACCTGTGCTTGACGATTATTGACACAAATATCATGCAATAATGATACATTATAAATTAATACAGTGAGGTTATGTATAAATACAAAATAAATACTTAATAAAAAATAGATAGCCTACTTATTTATTTATTTTACTTTATTCTTTTACTAACTCTTTGAAACTTCTTAAAACAAACTGTCTCAAAACATCAAATAAATGATTTGCCTAAATAATGACAACTGAGAAATCAAAAACATAATAAGAGCAAGGGTTCAACAATGACAATTATTGTTAAAAACTGTAAAAATGTTATTATTTCTCAACTGTCTAAATACAGTGTAACTGTCCACAAAATCTTTTTTATTATTATTATTATTGTAACAGACTTTGTTAGATTTTACATGACAGAATCCAACAAAGTCTGTTACCATAATACCGGTAATGATGTACTGGCGCTCGTTGTATATGTGCATGCAATGTATTTTTCCCCTCTGGGCTTGCCGTAGATAGGAATGGTTCAATTGCTGCACAGAACATACGGTAAGTAATCATGTAAACATACTTTTATCTTGCTCTTCTTTTCTCCTCCGGTGTCATTTTCTTCGTTCTATTTTCGGCCCCAGAGGAATACGTCCTTTTTTTGTGACATGGCTTAACATTACCGCGAGTCCGCGACTATGCGCAGTTGTGCACGAATTGTCTATGCACGCGCGAGGTGTATAGATTATGCGCATGACTTACACGCTGGCAGACACAGCAGCAGTTATAGGGAGGTATATTGATCATGAAATCGGAATTTTCTTGTCTTTAATTATACATTCATTCATTCATTCATTCATTCATATTAATTCATTCATTTATGTCACTTGTTTAAGTTATCCACTTTTAAGAATAAAAGCACTCGCGGTCTTTCTCTGAGTCCGCACTTTCGCGACGTAACGCCGCTTTGAATGTCGGGAAGAAGTCTGCTGTGGAGTCCGCATCAGCGCGGGCTCGGCAAAAGTGCGCATCAAGGGCGCAAATCGACCGCAGAGGGGGCGCTCGCGAGCACCCATGTGAGATCTAAAAATGACTTAGGCCCAGTCCCAAATGGCACACTTCATGTGCACTTTCGGTCTTGTGGACTTACAATGGCTGCCGCGTGCGCGTGTCCGTTAAGTCCGTGAGACCGTAGTGTGTCCCATTTGTCATTTTTAGATCTCAGAAGGGTGCTCGCGAGCGCCCCCTCTGCGGTCGATTTGCGCCCTTGATGCGCACTTTTGCCGAGCCCGCGCTGATGCGGACTCCACAGCAGACTTCTTCCCGACATTCAAAGCGGCGTTACGTCGCGAAAGTGCGGACTCAGAGAAAGACCGCGAGTGCTTAGGGTTCCATTTGGGACAGGGCCAAATGGGACACACTGCGGTCTCACGGACTTAACGGACACGCGCACGCGGCAGCCATTGTAAGTCCACAAGACCGAAAGTGCACATGAAGTGTGCCATTTGGGACAGGGCCTATGTTCGCAACTCTCAAATTTAACGGCTCTGGGGTCAAAGTCAAAGTCAAAGTATCTTTATTTGTCTCCCCAAGGAGAAATTAGTTTTGGATAGAGAGATTGCTACATGAAGATTTCAACAAAGACAAAGCACAGGTATAGGGTTAAAACAGTTGAAAACAAAAAAAAAGACATACAACATTAAAGCTACTCAGAGAACTGTGCAAAATAGCAAATCACCAAATTCCTAAATTCTGCTCATGCAAAAGTGATATCATATCATGTCCATGCATAACATTCAATCACAGATATACAGTATCCAGCTATACAGAATTAAAATCAAATTAAAAAACAAACAAGTACATAGGATATTCAAGCTACCCGAAGAGCTATGCAAATTGCAAATCACCTTTTTCTAAAAACTACTTATACAAAATTAATATCCTAACATGATCATACATAAATTAATCACGGATATAAAAATATATTAATAAATTCATAGTCACATGTTCATCGCTGATCATTTATAAGCTTAATTGAGAGAGGAACAAATGAGCGCTTATACCTATTATGTTTGCACAGAGGAACCCTGTACCTCTTTCCTGAGTTCAGTAACTCAAACTCTGTAAACAACGCATGAGTATTATCAGATATAATGTTTTTAGCCTGCCTAATTGTTGTCTGGTCAAAAAGCTCCTGTGGGTTGAGGGGTGGCGATGAACCCATAATTTTGCCTGCTGTCTTGACCAAATTAGAAATCTGAGTTTTTGATTTGACTGACAAATTTCCAAACCAACTGGTGATACCATATCGAAGAATGGACTCTATTGTTGCTCTATAAAAGATTAACATAATATTTTTACAGACCCCAAACACTCTAAGTCTACGTAAAAAAAACGGGTGTGTTTCCCGAAAGCATCGTTAGCCAACTATGGTCGCAAGTTCCGTCGTTACCAATAGAGTTCAATGGGATTTGCGACCAACTTGCGACCATAGTTGGCTAACGATGCTTTCGGGAAACCGCACCCCTGGTTCGCGCTTATACCGCCAAGGCAAGTTCAAAACAAAGCGTGCACGCTGTACTGTGATTGGTGGCTCGTTTGACCAGTTACGTTTTTATCCACTCATAAATAAAAAGGAACGACTGATTTTGTAGTTGAGTAAAAAGTAAGATATTTGACTTTGAAAAGTAGTAGAGTTAAAGTAAAAGTCTCCCAAAATTTAAATACTTGAGTAAAGTACAGATACACAAAAAAGCTACTTAAGAACAGTAACGAATTACATTTACTTCGTTACTGTCCACCACTGATTAATAAGCATCATGTTTACACAGCGCACATGGATTTACATGGATCAACATGGGGACAGGAGAGGCAAATAAATGGGAAAACAGAGTAAGTTGCATTACTAATTTTAAAAAGTAATGCATTACTTTACTAGTGTCACAAATATAGGTGTTTAGGAAATGCATGATGCAGAGGAATCACAGGCAATACTAATAAACAATTAGTAGATACACAAGGAAATACATACTAACACCACTTAACACACGACAAGAAATGAACAGGGAGTATATACAGAATTAACAAGGGAACTTAATGATAAACAGGTGAACTTAATCAGTAGCCTAACCAAGGAGAGGACACTCTAAAGACTAAACTGAAAGGGTAAAACATGAAACCAAGACAACAACACAACTAAACAAGATGAAACACAGACAACCATTTAGTTACTTGAAAAAGTAATCTGACCAGATACTGTACTTAGGCTACCTGCAACACTATTTATAATGATATATTGTGGTGACTAAAATTGTGTGGAGAAATGCCTCAGAAATGTTAAAAATACAAATGTTCAAATTATAATATCCAATTATAATAAACTAATAAAATACAACGATTAAGTATTACAAATCCAGAAAATACTATCTACAAGAATGAACTATTTTGACTTGATCCAGCCCTTAAAACTAATTTTGTTTGTGTATTAATATTGAATAAAAACAATTATATTTTTAGAATAATTATTTAAATTAGTGATGATAAGTCATGATTTTCAGAGGATAACTTTTGAAAAAGAACTGCCGGACATGAGGAGAAAATCAATATTTCATAAACCATTATTATATTAATAATGCCTACATATAGCTACACATATATAACAAGGATTGCAATAAGACCATATCCAACATTTGAATTATGGCAAATGTTTAATACCGGTAGTAATGTACACTAAACTTTCTGCATCTTAAAACCATCGTGAACAGACAGAGGTGTATCTCTCCCGCGCGTGCGCGCGCACACACACACACACACACACACTCACACACACAGTCGTGCTCTTGTGACTTGGGTGAGTGCGCGTGAAATTACAGTCGCTATCTCAGTCGCGCGCTCTGAGGTAACAGAAGCAGCGCTTCAGTCTGGGAGAATCTGTCTTGAGTGAGTCTAGCACACACACACATCCACTGGAAAGAACAGTCACGAGCTTTACACGGAGGGACAACACTTCTGAAGGCTACAGGTAAGCACTTTACACATCAGCCGTACAAATGCCGTGACCAATGTGCGCTTGAGCTTGAACTCAGAAACACTCAAAGCTTGAGGAGCTTGAGGAACACTCAAAGGATTCATCAGCATGAAGTGGTCCAGGTTAACTGCATGATATGTGAGATATTTTCGTGTTTTGAGAAAGATGCATTGCCTTGTGCGATTGATCAAATTGATATTGCCTACTATTGAAAGCAAGTCTCTGAGGTTACGCTTACGCAATATTTTAAAGAACGAAACGAAAACCCGCAGTTCTTGATTCTTGTAATTCATGTCAGTGTTATTCTGTCACCAATTGCGTGTTCTAATGAAAAGTAACTGTCAAATGCAGGCTACTACTTTTATTTCTATTACCATAATGCATTTAGATTTAGTATCTTGTTAGGCTACCAGCAACTGCTTTAGCATATGCATTCTGATTTTAAAGGAATAGCATACACTTTACGTGTATCTAAAAAAAATCAACATTTTAGGTTCCCTAATAACCTCTCAGGGAATAGTTCTTAAAATAAAATGTGTGTGTGTGTGTGTGTGTGTGTGAAGAACATTTTAATAATCTAAAGAACCTTTTTAACTTTAAATAACCTTTCGTGCAATGGAAAGTTTCCATGGTTCTTCCTGGAACCACAGATGCCACAAGAACCCTTATTGTTAAGAGTGTTCTGTCATCATTCACTCACACTCATGCCGTTCTAAACCCGTACTGTAGCCTATTCTTTCTTCCATTTATGGTGTTACGTTACTGATTACACATTACACAAGTATCCCTGAAATCAAATCAGTACCATAATCTTTTTAAATTACCTTTTTATAGTCTTATCTCATACTCTGTCTAACAACGGAGAGTTCCGGTCTGGATGCTTATTGGTCAATAATTGTGCACGATATTTCAATTCACATTCAATTAAATTCAAATCACATTTATTTGTATATTGATACTTGGATCATTAATTTGTTGCGTAGCAATGTTCTGTTATGCAAGTTATTCTAGTGGAGGAATGGTATTTTGGCAGCTGGTCATTTGGAATGGTAATTTCAGTCATAAACGGTCAATAAAAATAAAAATAATTTGTGTTCTTAATATTTTTATCAATTTTAAAAGGCACTTGGGCCTTGCTATCGTCACAGATGGCTGTTGCAAGGAAGCGCACAACAAAGGAGAATTCCAGGAAATAGTCTTTTAATCCAAACACTCAAGAAACAGGCAGGGGAAACTCAGAACACAACCACTTCAACATAGACGAGACAGGACCAAGAACTGAAGAAAACAGGGAGTACTTATACCAGAAATAAATGAGGGAACCAATGAGTTAATTAACGAGCAACAGGTGAACTGAATGAAAGTGACACAGACTAGAAACTAGGTTAAGCTGCTGTTTACATGACACAGTTTTCAACTAAAAACGTTAAAGGTTTTATGCGTTTTGGCTGTTCGTTTGTACGACAACAACTTTTTGGGTGCCTGAAAACGCAAACTTTTGAAAACGGGTTTCAAAGTACAAGTTTTTGAAAACGGTCTCCGTGTAAAAAAAACAAAACGCGAATCATGCACATGTGTATTACGTGTTCAGTCTAGTGTTTCATCGCTATCTTATGGTCTGGCAGCAGAATACAGCGTTTTTGGTCCTTTTCACGGATCCGTGTGAATGGGGATCGTTTTGACAATGGTGTCGTGTGTACGCGGACAACTCAAAGGAAAAACGTATCTGTTTTAAGCACATCGTTGTCGTGTAAACGTACACAGGAACAAACACAATGCAACAAAACATACTCCTGACAGCTATATTGTATGGAAGCTTGTTTTTCTGTCACGGAATAAAAAATAAAAATGGTGATTTCACAGTTATGAGAAATAAAGAGATAGATGTTTTTAATTTTAAAAACAAGCCTCCATGAACAGTGAATAACAACGTGCCTTTAGTCGTAACTCTCAGTATGGGAAGATCTCTCTTACCTTAATAGTTAATTCTGTGTTTTCACTTGCAAGAATAAGCTTGTACTACTTTGATAAAAAATACAAAAATGAATAAGTGAATAGTGACCGAGGGTCTTCTTTAGTGTTGCACAGAAGAAATAAAGCTTTATGGGTTTGGAAAAACATGAGGGTGAGTAAATGATGTCACAGAATTGTGTAATGTGCTCAACAGTCAATTATGTTAAAGCTAGTGTGGTATTTTACATGTTTAATTCATGTGTGAGTGGTTTGTGATGGTAACGAGAGTTTTGCTATTGATCCGAGCTGACTGCAGTTCAGTATCGGTCATTTGCCTAGATTTTTCCATGTCACCAGGAAGGGGGTGAGGTCTGTCGTTGCACCCAGTCCTATTAAATTATTCAGATGCCATCTCTATTTTTCACAGAAACACAGAGCGACTCACAGCGAGACACCTTTAATTGGTAGAAAAGTCACCATGCACTTTTTTTTTGAGCATGGGGTTTTCTTTATAACACCTGCACCCGTCCGAAAATATTTTGATGATAATATGAAGTCTTTGTGCGGCCGCCTACAAAGCCAGTCTTCTTTGTCTCACTATAAATGGCACCAAGCACACGCACAGCCCTTTGATCCCTTACTCAAGTCCCTTTTGTCTTTGCCGTTCACTTTCACCAATGAAACAGCCTGTATGCTAACAAGGGTCAGGGGAGTGAGCTGTATTTGTGCTGGTCACCATTAACATAACAGCGGCATGAATAATCAGTCCATTTTCAACCAACATTAAAGGCAGAGAACATAAACCGCTTAGTTTCTTTTTCTGTCTGCCATCCAGCATCTGTGTGGCGCTAATTAATCTGAATGGATTCAGATTATTTATTTATTTATCTTGGGATGATTTGCAATGGTCACTCTTTGAACTGCTGTGATTTCAGCCGTGTGTAAGATTGTAGCTTGAGGGTCTGTTTTATCAGGCATATAGGTGCCGTTCTTTGGTCCAAACAGTTAATTTCTTCGTTTCATTTTCACTGTCCTTTAATCCTTTTTCTTTTATAGTACTGCTCATTGCTGCTTTCTTTTATCTGCACCCTCACTTTTTCCACAGTATCCCTTGTCCTTTGATTCAGTTGAGTCACCCACTTCCCAAATGGAATCAAGGGTAAACTAAAAATGATAATGAATGGCAGTATAATAACCTCTCTAGTCTCTATTGAGGTTTCTCAGATAAAACAAAAATATCTTTAAAGTGGCTGATCTGTAGTAAATGACTATTTCATCTGTCAACTGTGTGTAGAGCATGGATGTTTCTCATTGCATCAAAGCATGCAAAGTATCATTGTGGTCTTTTCACGGTCTTATCTCAGATCAGCTAAGCCTGGATACTGGTTTTATCCATGCAAATGATTAGGATTAGCTTTGTTTTGGGACGGTGCATGTGCAATATAGTGAACGAGCAGCATTGTATACATGCACACCTTTGATGCAGTATAATAAATTACAGTATAATAAGCAAAGGTTTACATGACAGGATAAATTGTTCAAACACTATGAGACTAAACTACAACAAACTAACGAATAAAACCCCATTCTTTAGCAAACAAATACCATGTGCTGATGGTGCTAAATCATGTTTTCATGGTAAATGTCCATATTAGTCACCCTGCCTTCGTCATTCACACAGGACGGTGTGCACATGTGCCATGCGGAGGGCTGAGGACCACCAGCTGCTCCACATTACATCAGACCATCAAATCATGTGGCAGACAGATTATGCAAGCCAACTGTACTCATGTGTAAATATGACTGTCCTGTGTATTATTTAATCAGTATCTCACGAGCAAGAGTGCTGTCATAATAATTCTTAATAAACAACCCCGCATCTTGTTTTAGATGCAATATGAATGCTCCGCTAACAAAATGTTTCCAAACGAGGCCACAGCAGAGTTGTTGCTTGTTTTTGAGCAACCCATGTTTTGCTCCTGAATGAATCGAGTGAATGATTCAATGAATTTTTTGTTCATAAAGACAGCCAGTTGCATTGTTCCTGATTGAATCAGTGTTTTTGAATGAATCATTTGAGTGAATAATAAATTATACTCATAAATATTGTCACTTGTCGCCATACACTGGTGTAAGAGTGTCTGTCAGACCACAGTCTGGAACCAGTGTTCCTATTCTTAAAAATAAAATCAATATGAGATGAAAACTTAAAACAAGTAAATATATATATGTTGCCTTAGCAACTAGCTGAAATAAAACAAGTCTAAAGTGGAGGACTACATTTAAAATAAATTTAAAATGAAAATATAAAAATAATTCAAAATATTAATAATTAATATAATAGTATATAAAAATAGCACTGTGCAGAATGCTGCTTTACCAATCAGATACAAATAACCTAATAATAGATAACCTAAAAATGCACTTTTATGTGGTTACATTATTAACATGAATTTACTGAAGTTAAAGATATTATATAATGTCTGAACCAACCTAACTACTTTAGGTTACATTAAACAAAAGTCATTTTATATAGTATAACTGCCAATAAACGTTTTACAGAGTAAGTTTTGAAATGTTTATGATGTTTACCTCAAGGATACAAAATGTATTGGTTCTTTAAACTTAAACAAACCTTTTGATCTGAGATTGTAACATAGAACCAAAATGTAATCATTTCATATAGCCCACTTCTCACAATTGGATGATCAGCACCATGCAATTTGTATCTCCTAGATGAGTTTTGCATTTAGAATGAATCGGAGAACAGCCTTGCTATTATTTCTATCCTTGCTCTTGATTTTAGTTTAAATGGTGGAAGAGTTGATTTGAATAACAAACTATGTACAGACTTGCTCTGCATAAAATCATGGTAGGTGCACATGGATTGGCTGGATGGCTTTGGCAGGATCTTTTCATAGATGAGAAAATAACCCAGCTGTGGTTATTGCAGGTGGCTCGTCTGAATCAGTCTCCCCCTCATTCACAGGCAAATGAGTGGACCGAGCGACGCTGTGCCTATGAGATTCTAAATGTACTTCCTCTTGACTTGTAGGTTAAAGTGTCTCACTATGACGGATGTGATGAACAGCTGTGACTCTGCGGTAGGAGACTACAATGTGAGCGGTGCATCTGAGGAACAGAACATCTCTTTACAGGTGGGCTTGCACTCCTTTGGATCTCTCTTGAGATTCATATCAATTATTTTATTCAAGTCAGAGGAACAAGGCTAAAAAAATGCAAAATGCAATTTGCGATAGCGACAGTACATTAAATTGCTATTTGCCAAAAAAAAGAAAGAAAAAGGAACTGGATGGACATGAAATATTGATTTGATCAGTTTTGGGGGTAACAAATTACAAGTAATGCGAGTTACATAATCAGATTACATATTCAAGTAATTAACGCATTACTTTTTAAATTTACTTCAAAATATCTGAGTTGCTCTTTCAAATTAGTAATGCAAGTTACTTTTTCCCGTTTACATTTTCCAATTTCTCCTGTCCCCATGTTGAGAGAAATTGGACGCGGAGGTGTTGTGTGTGCTGTGTTAACATGATGGTTATTGTAGTTCTCGACCAGTGGTTTCTAAAACGGGGAACGCATATCCCTGGGGTACGTGAGGTGAGAGAGGGGGAATGCGATCAAAATGCTACCCCACCTTAAAATAACATTTCAAACCAAGTATGTATTTCCAACAGGCAAAATGCCGTAAAAGGTCAAATACATGACATCCAATCAAATTAGCTCATCTTTTGCAGTCAAAACTGACTGCATCCACACAAGCAGCGCGCATATGATAGGTTGCATGCAGAGTATTCAGCCTTAGCAAATCACACTACATTGCTGCCGTTCTTGACTATATACCTTTGTAAAAGTAGAGATTTAGCTCTTACTAGCATGAAGCACACAGAGTGAATAGAGATCGATTTAAGACTCAAACTCTCTTAAATAAAGACACATACCCTGTGAGCTCTTGATTGGTGAAATATCCACGATTGCACATTTGACATTTTATACTACAGTTCAACAAACAAAAGGGTAATATTAAGTGATGTTTTAAACTGTATCATTGTCAGTATTGTTTGCTCTATTTTGCAGCGAAATAATAGTTTCAACAAAAGCCACAGAAGAACTGCAACACAGACCAGTGTTTTGTGATCAAATCTGCGTCTTTGAACGAGTCGCGAGAGTCAATGATTCAATGACCCATTCATAAATATAGCCACTTGCTCACTTCCTTACTGAATTAATGAATAACTCACTCACTCACTTATGGCTTATTCGTTTTTATTACGAAATTCAAACAATAGCGTTTTGGCACTTGTAAATGTGACGTGACAGATCGTGGTCATAAACCGTATATCTCTTACTCTTTACTAGTTAATAGTGAATAAACACGAATGAACAATATGTGTGTTGAAAGATACAGTACAACTTACTGAAATGTTTACTGCCACCTACATGCGGTTTTAGTTTAATATTCAAAAGTTTTACTTTTACCATCATTGCATATTTCTCTACTGAACATCTTTTATTTAAAACACTGTTTATTTATAAAGGTAAAAAAATCCACTGGAAAATCAGTCGAAGTCGAAGAAAGGTATAGAGACAGTGTATTTAGGCCACGCCCACACCGGGGGGGGGGGGGGGGGGGGGGACAATCCAACCTTCTCCATTGACTTTGCATTGTGAGAGGCTGCCTCCTTGTCATTTATGACTTATAACAAAAAACAAAACAATGTCTAAAAGCTACTATGTGACAAGGTGTACAGCAAACAAGCTAAATAACCCAGAAATAAATTTTTATAAGCTGTCAACCCCAAAAAAATATTGTTTACTGCACACGTAGACATACTGAGTGTCAGGATCCCATAATTACCCATTCTTCCTGCTGATGCTTCACGTCTTATTGCCTGTATCCACTTTTGTCTCCTTAAAGGCACACTATGCAAGAATTGTACCTTAATATAACAGCTTCAAAGTAATTTCGGTGGTAAACAAACTCAGAGTAGGGCGAATCATCCTGGTAGTAAAGCTTGGGGGGGGGGACGCCGCTGGAAAAACCAGCAATGCAAGTTTGAGAGGAGCGCCCCCGACAAATCTCGCGAGAATCACGACATGCTTTACGGCAACGACGTCACACACATCAACAACGACGTCACACACATCAACAACAACATTTGAAGCACGAAGACACTTGCGCGCATTTCAGACGTGATACTCGACGATGGAAAAAGCAAAGAAAACGCGGTCGGAAGAGACTAGGAAAAAAGAGAATCTGACCGCGTGAGGAACCGGACAAGAGTCCCACTCGGTCGGGCTTTCACTCGTTGGCGCGAGCTAAAAAGCAGCACTGGATGCAACAGTGATGCTGAACTGGCGATCTTGTTGATGGACTAGTAAGTAAATCTTTCTAAGTTTGTGTGCATTTTATTTTGTGATTTCACCGGAATGAATAGAGAGTCTCTGCAACGGCGATGGATTGAAGAGCGTGTCCGAGTGAAGACTGCGTGCGCGCCGCCACAAGAGACACTATGTATGTATCCATGACACTGATAGCAGCGAGCGCTCAGGTTGAGTTCAAAAACACATTTTAGCGCTAGATCTCTTATTTAAAGGCACACTATGCAAGATTTGTACCTTAATATAACAGCTTCAAAGGGGTATCAGGCTGTGAGTGCAGAGACCAGTCTATGGCAGACGCTCTGCGTGAGTGGCATTTACGACAGTAACGTTAAATACAAGTACTCCACAGCGACTCTAGGGGTCGCTGTTTGACAAAAATAGAATTTCTGCATAGTGTGCCTTTAAAGGCTGGCTTTTACGGTTCGGAAGCTTATAAAAATGTATTTCTGGGTTTTTTAGCTTGTTTGCTGTACACCTTGTCACACAGCAGCTTTTAGGCATTTTTCTGTCTTAAGTCATAAATGACAAGGAGGCAGCCTCTCGCAATGCAAAGTCAATGGAGACGGTTGGATTGTTTTCCCCCCGGTGGGCGTGGTCTTCAGATTATGACGCGTTGCGCTCTGTCTCTATGCAGAATGATGTTAAATGCCTCAGGGGTAAGCCACTATAAAGAGTTTGGAAACCACCGTTTTTAACCGTATTTAATCTCACTTTATTAGCCAATGTGAGCAGGAATTTACTGCAATGCAAACTCAGAATATTATGCAAAATATTATTTTAAATATCACAGATATAATTTATGTATTTAATCTCTCTTTATTAGCCAAAGTCTTTGCTGCTGACCTTTGATAATCTGATTCAACCCTTTTCCTTTAGCCAGAGGTTTATTCATTTAACTTTTGGTGTAAAATGCCCAAATTTGCCAAAAATAGAATTTTTGTTTTGTTTTGTTTTTGTTATAACGTATATTTGTATATATAGTATCTCAGCCCAGGTGAGAAAAGAAACGCAAAAGTAATGTAATACTTAAAAAGTAACTTATAAAAAGTAAGTAATGCAATTAGTTACCTTTTAGGGAGTACTGCAATATTGTAACTCATTACTTTTAAAAATGGCTTTCCCCAATACTGGATTTGGGTTATTTTAAATAAAGTAATTTATTATCTTACATATATATTAGCTTAGTGTTCTGCTAAGAAATATAGTTAAATAAATATAGAAAACAATTGTTCTAGCAACAATGGCAATTTAATTCATTTTAATATAATCTTGATTTATATTAAATAAGAAATGTAATTTATTCTGCAATCCATGTTACTTTTTATGGACTTGTTAGCTAACATATTTTCAATGAAAAACATTTTCAGTTCAGCAGAGACTATTGAAGTACAAATAGCAATAGATGCAATAGCTTTTGCAAACAAGAAGGGCTATTTGCATTTAGTACAAAGTACAAACAGACACTACGTTTATGTTCTCTCTCATACAGCTCTTTAAATCTCGGATTCGTTGTTCCTAGCTTTGCTTAGGGATGTTTTTGTTTTTTAGCTTTAACTGGGGACTCCAAAGTTCTCTAGACATCTACCAGAAGGTTTACGTTCTCCATAAATAATACTGAAGTCTTCTGTTGTGATTCTCAAGATGGCATCTCAGTGAGCAATAATTACTTGCGGTGGAATGAAAAAAGAGAGAGCATTGATATGTTGACAATAATAAAATATACAGTTATGGCCTGTTTACACCAATAACGATAACTAAAACAATAAAGGCGGCAAAGGTCACACAACACTTTTCATTCCATTGACTTCAATTCGTACATATGCGAATGAAAAATAAGCTCATGCGAATGTTGAAAATGCGTGACCAATAGAAGAATGATACGTCACGGCATGACCTCTTAGATGAATTAAAGGAATGCATTGTCAAAGCTGGGGTGTGGACGTTGCTATTCTCATAGAATTAGAACGGTTATTGAAACTACACTTTTAAAAAAGGTTCCAAAAAAGGTTTTCGCAGTGATGCCATAGAAGAACCATTTTGGGATCCCCAAAGAATCTTTCAGTGAATAGTTCTTAAAATAACTTGAGTAAATAACATTCTAATAATCTAAAGAACCTTTTTCCACGATAAAGAACCTTTTGTGCAGTGGAAAGTTTCCATGGATGTTAAAGGTACTTCATGAAACCATTAATGCCAATAAAGGACCTTTATTTTTGTTGTGGAGCGGCCATTAAGCAGCATTTTACAGAAATATTTGAGCATTAAATACCATGATTGACAAATCAAAATCCAGTATTCCATTAGAGCCAGGTAAATAATAGGTTATATTTTAAGTCATAGTCACGCAGACATACTGAGTGTTTTTCTAGTTCCTGGATAGATGACGGGTCTCCGTGGATCTATTTTGAGCTCCATCATTTCAGCCTGATTGAAGTCCCTTTTATTTAGCTTACATCGCTACGAAAAGCCAATCGGATGCATGCTCGTTCATACAGCCTGATGCTGGATGAATTCAGATTCCTCTCAGACACTCAAGAGAGACTCAAAAGGTCACAATCTTTTCAGGAAACGATCATCATAACCCGTTCTTTACCACAGGATAAGCAGTGGCACTATATGCTAGCTGAATGAACCCTGTCTGAATCTGTCATTCACTCTGTCATGTAAGCTCTTTATGTGCTGTGTAAACCAACATGGCAGTACACACCCTTTTCCACAGTTGGTACAGATGCTTTTAGACTTGATACCCGACATGTTGCAGACACACAGATACACACTCAAGATGCTCTTGTTCACACTTCACTGCATCTACACAACACGAGTCACATCCTGCACTCATGAACTCCAAACAAGCCTGCATTATAGCAATAGAACTCACACAAGGCCTTGAGGTGAATGCCAAACACCTCATTAAAAGAAATCCATTAAGGATTTTTTTTTTTTGGATGAAACTGCTTGGGGGAAGCTTTTGTAATCATATATTTACTCATAAGTGATTGTCCACAAAAAACAGATTTCATTCTCCTCTCTGATTGCTTATGATGGGAATTAGTGCTGCACGGTTAATCATATCGCAATCGCAATGTCACGCCTATGCGTTTATATGACGCAAAATGCTGCGATTTTATGAAATAAATAAATGTATGTGGGGACATGACAACCCATTTCCTCTGAGAGCTGTTTGTCCATTTTCTACACCGCTAATAAAAAGAAGACCAGTCAGTTTCAGTTGAGGCAGTGGCACGTGTGGCACGTATGCTCACGTCGTGACTTTTTCCGGTGTGCAGCGAGGAGAACAGGTGAAGATGGATGTCGAGCAGGCGGACACTGAACTGGTGGCCAGAACAAAAATCTACCTCTGTTATATGGCGATATTTTGGCTACAAGATAAACGACACTGAGCAGAGAGAGCAGGGCTTATTCGTTTTTATTACGAAATTCAAACAATAGTGTTTTGGCGCTTGTAAATGTGACGTGACAGATCGTGGTCATAAACCGTACATCTCTTACTCTTTACTAGTTAATAGTAAATAAACACGAATGAACAATATGTGTGTTGAAAGATACAGTACAACTTACTGAAATGTTTATGCCTCGTACATAATATCGATCAATCAGTGTTTTTCAACCGCGGAAAGAGGTCAATAAAACAGCTGGAGAACAATGTCACATAACGTTACATTTACATCAGGAAAGCCATTTGATAGCACGTTAGTTGGCTAGACAAATTACACACTGACAAAAATTATAAACGCAACACTTTTGTTTTTTGCCCCCATTTTTCATGAGCTGAACTCAAAGATGTTAGACTTTTTCTATGTACACAAAAGGCCTATTTCTCTCAAATATTGTTCACAAATCGGTCTAAATCTGTGTTAGTGAGCACTTCTCCTTTGCCGAGATAATCCATCCACCTCACAGGTGAGGCATATCAAGACACAGCATGATTATTGCACAGGTGTGCCTTAGGCTGGCCACAATAAAAGGCCACTCTAAAATTTGCAGTTTTATCCAACGCATTCTCATCCTTTGGCGTCATATAGGTGACGCCATATGACATTTCGTCGAAATCTTACGCACATGGCATCCTTTAGCGTCAATATAACACGCACTGTTATGGGTAGGTTTAGGTCTGGGGTAGGGTACGGTTATGACGCCTTGGGATCTGCGTCTCATATTCACGCTAAACGATGCCATGTGCGTTGGATTTAGACGAGCGTCACCTGTATGACGCCTTGGGATCTGCGTCTCATATTCACGCTAAACGATGCCATGTGCGTTGGATTTAGACGAGTGTCACCTGTATGACGCCTTGGGTTCTGCGTCTCATATTGATGCTAAACGATGCCATGTGCGTTGGATTTAGACGAGCGTCACCTGTATGACGCCTTGGGTTCTGCGTCTCATATTGATGCTAAACGATGCCATGTGCGTTGGATTTAGACGAGCGTCACCTGTATGACGCCTTGGGATCTGCGTCTCATATTGACGCTAAACGATGCCATGTGCGTCGGATTTAGACGAGTGTCACCTGTATGACGCCTTGGGTTCTGCGTCTCATATTGATGCTAAACGATGCCATGTGTGTTGGATTTAGACGAGTGTCACCTGTATGACGCCTTGGGTTCTGCGTCTCATATTCACGCTAAACAATGCCATGTGCGTTGGATTTAGACGCGCGTCACCTGTATGACGCCTTGGGTTCTGCGTCTCATATTGATGCTAAAGGATGCCATGCGCGTTGGATTTAGACGCGGGTCACCTGTATGACGCCTTGGGTTCTGCGTCTCATATTCACGCTTTGTTATTTTTAACCTTTAATAATAATACCAGCTGACAGGGCTCTCTGTATGTTCACAGCATTAGGTGAGATATTTTTTTTTTACATGTATCTACTGTAGCTAATATTTATCCAAATTAATCGATATTGAATCAAGATCGGAATCAAATCACAAGATTTGAATTGAAATCGTGAAATTTGTGTCAAGCAATAATAAAAACAGTAGCCTACCAGTCATTGTACCATGTACAAATTATAACATGTTGTCACTAAACTTTGTGTACTAGTATTGAGACAATAACAAGTTTGTAGTAATGCAAAGATGTCATTATTTCATTTAGTAAAAAATATTATTTTTATTTGACAACACTGTGCATTAAGTTGTTGTTGCTATAGTTTGAGTTGAGAAATACACATTTCAGCATTATCACTAATCTGTGTGTACATTTTCCTTGAGAACCAAGCAAGTTGACTCATGAAACCATTTGTTTATTATATCGCAATCACAATATTGACCTCAATAATCGCAATATGTCATTTTCCCTAAATCGGGCAGCCCTAATGGGAATGCACTGAAAACTTTTTAATTGTACTTTTGCCAGTACATTTTTCTAAGCATACATAAAACAACAATAAATTTACTTTAAAAAGTTTAGATAATATCATAAATTATTTAATTTAGTAACACTTTATTTCGATGGCCCACTTTAGATATTCTGCTAACTATAAGTAACTTTGCAACTACATGTCAACTACCTCTCATTAGAGCTTTAGACTGTTAGGGTAGGATTAGGGTTCCGGTAAGTATAAGCTATATACACTCACCGGCCACTTTATTAGGTACACCTGTCCAACTGCTCGTTAACACTTAATTTCTAAGCAGCCAATCACATGGCGGCAACTCAGTGCATTTAGGCATGTAGACATGGTCAAGACAATCTCCTGCAGTTCAAACCGAGCATCAGTATGGGGAAGAAAGGTGATTTGAGTGACTTTGAATGTGGCATGATTGTTGGTGCCAGAAGGGCTGGTCTGAGTATTTCAGAAACTGCTAATCTACTGGGATTTTCACGCACAACCATCTCTAGGGTTTACAGAGAATGGTCCGAAAAAGAAAAAACATCCAGTGAGCGGCAGTTCTGTGGGCGGAAATGCCTTGTTGATGCCAGAGGTCAGAGGAGAATGGCCAGACTGGTTCGAGCTGATAGAAGGGCAACAGTGACTGAAATAACCACTCGTTACAACCGAGGTATGCAGCAAAGCATTTGTGAAGCCACAACACGCACAACCTTGAAGCGGATGGGCTACAACAGCAGAAGACTCCACCGGGTACCACTCATCTCCACTACAAATAGGAAAAAGAGGCTACAATTTGCAAGAGCTCACCAAAATTGAACAGTTGAAGACTGGAAAAATGTTGCCTGGTCTGATGAGTCTCGATTTCTGTTGAGACATTCAGATGTTAGAGTCAGAATTTGGCGTAAACAGAATGAGAACATGGAACCATCATGCCTTGTTACCACTGTGCAGGCTGGTGGTGGTGGTGTAATAGTGTGGGGGATGTTTTCCTGGCACACTTTAGGCCCCTTAGTGCCAATTGGGCATCGTTTAAATGCCACGGCCTACCTGAGCATTGTTTCTGACCATGTCCATCCCTTTATGGCCACCATGTACCCATCCTCTGATGGCTACTTCCACCATGTCACAAAGCTCTAATCATTTCAAATTGGTTTCTTGAACATGACAATGAGTTCACTGTACTAAAATGGCCTCCACAGTCACCAGATCTCAACCCAATAGAGCATCTTTGGGATGTGGTGGAACGGGAGATTCGCATCATAGATGTGCAGCCGACAAATCTGCGGCAACTGTGTGATGCCATCATGTCAATATGGACCAAACTCCCTGAGGAATGCTTCCAGCACCTTGTTGAATCTATGCCACGAAGAATTGAGGCAGTTCTGAAGGCAAAAGGGGGTCCAACCCGTTACTAGCATGGGGTACCTAATAAAGTGGCCGGTGAGTGTATGTTACTTCTAGTCAGTGGAATGTCTGTTGGGTATGGCATTATTTTAATGACAAATATCAAGAGAGCATTATTGTAACGCACGATTCTCTGTGCTCGCATGCAAATTTCCTTCTCTCTTGCACAAAACTGGATGCACTCTCACAAATACACAGTGCTCCCTTCCCTTCTGGATTAAACGTTAGTGGAATATTGAAATAAAGCGTAACATTTGATTTTTCTTAAACCCATTTTAACAAAAGAAAATTATTTTAAGCACAAATTTAAGTTTTGTCAAGTTTATGCTAAAGTTAGAACTACTGCTTCCAACTGGATGGTTTAGTTTAGAGAGATCCCCAGATCTTGAATACAATAAGTATATCAAATTGTGCTGTTTCATGAAAACTGTCAGGTCATTTTGAGGGCTTTCAGACTTTAAAATGCATTTTTAACACACTGTCATGTAATGTGGCTTCTTATGACCCAATGATATAGATCTTCCCAGACTCCCATGAAAGGTTTCCCAAGCTTTCCAAACGCTTGCCGTCCATCGTGGTCGAGCCCACTGAGAGCGGGGAGGTAGAGAGCGGGGAACTCCGCTGGCCTCCTGATGATCTGAGCCCTACAGACGACCCCAGAGACAAACAGGCCCAGGCTGCAAGTAAGCTCATATAAAGCATGAAAAGAACATTTTGTTAAGTTTACTTTCGCAACTTTGTTCTCATAATACTACAACTTAAAGGGATACTCCACTTTTTTTGGAAATAGGCTCATTTTACAACTCCCCCAGAGTTAAACTGTTGAGTTTTACCGTTTTTGAATCCATTCAGCCGATCTCCGGTTCTGGCGGTACCACTTTTAGCATAGCTTAGCATACATCATTGAAGTGGACAAGACCATTAGCATTTCTAAAAAAAAAAAAAGACCAAAGAGTTTCGATATTTTTCCTATTTAAAACTTGACTCTTCTGTAGTTACATCGTGCACTAAGACCGACGGAAAATGTAAAGTTGCGATTTTCTAGGCTGATATGGCTAGGAACTATACTCTCATTCCTGCGTAATAATCAAGAAACTTCACTGCCGTACCATGAGAGCAGCAGGCGTAATGATATGACGCAGCGCCTGAAAATAGTTCCGTTGTGTTGACGGAAGGTGGCCTATTTTCAGGCGCTGCGTCATATCATTACGCCTTTTTTTTTAGAAATGCTAATGTTCTTGTCCACTTCAATGATGTATGCTAAGCTATGCTAAAAGTGGTACCGCCAGAACCGGAGATCGGCTGAATGGATTCAAAAACGGTAAAACTCAACAGTTTAACTCTGGGGGAGTTGTAAAATGAGCCTATTTCCAAAAAAAGTGGAGTATCCCTTTAATATCATGTTTTTTAGCTTCAATCTCAATTTCTTTTTAATATTTTCTTTACTTTTAAAAAACTTTGAGTTGTCTTAAAAGGCCTATTCTCGCAACCTTTATCCATGTAATGTTGATCTTAGATTTTTATTTTATTTTAACCCTTAAATGCAGGAATGTTTTTACGATCATTATTACATATTAAGGTTTTTAGCGACCTGGATCTAAATCTAACATGGATGGATCTCTACCTGTCGCAATAACATAAAACTCTCCTGATATTAGAGTAACAATTACAGAAGAATAAAATAAAGCATATTTTCTTACCTTTTGGAGCTTGGAAAGGTACAGTTTGAGTAGATGTTTTATACCATCATCACTGTCCTCATCAGAGATAATTTGCAGCATCTGACTCATATTTGCGATCTCAAACATATTCTCAAAATGATCATTTTCAACATCTGCAAAATAAATATTTTTTGATTGCGGACAGCTTCTTCACCAGATCCACCATCACGTGAAAGTGACACTAATATTTGATTGCGTTCAGTACTTGCTTTGCTGTAAATCGCTGAGCCATTTCAAGTTTTGCTGATGATTCTTCCTATTATTTTGTTTTCTGTCTGCGGTAACTAGAAGCGAAACGTCACTTCATCATTGTGAATCAGACATTGCCACCTTGTGGAATAAAGGTGATTTGCACTTATTCAGTCATCAAAGATTGAATTATTGTTGTGCAGAAAAAATATACTTACACTGTTACACACCTTGGGTCATTAGCGACCCTATACATCTTTTCTTGTTATATTGTATAAGTATGCATTTTATATATATAATTTTATTTTAATATAAAATATATAATTGAACCCTATATCATTTTTTCTTGTTATATTGTTTATAATGAATTGATTGAGGAATACTAAGAAGGTTGATGTTTAACTTTAAAAAAATAAAATAAGGAGGTGTGAATGACATTTCATGCATATGCGTATAAGGGTTAACATGGCACTAAAACGTTATTATACTCTATGTAATATTTATACTCTACCGTCCAAAAGTTTGGGGTTGGTAAGATTTTTTTTAATGCTTTTAAAAGAAGTTTCTTTATGCTCACCATGGCTGCATTTGTTTGATTAAAAATAGAATAAAAATATTGTTAAATATTTTCAAATACAATTTAATCAAATAAATTCCTGTGCTGGCAAAGCTTAATTTTTAGCATAATTACTCCAGTAATATTTAAAATTATTATAAGTAATAAGTAAAAATGAATCCAATATTTTTGTGGAAACTGTGATACGTGTCCTTTCAGAATTTTTTGATGACTGAAGTTCAGAAGAACAGCATTTATTTGTAACATTATAAATGTATTTACATTTTTGATCAATTTAATGTATTTGCTGAATAAAAGTATCAATAAAAATCTTACTGACCCCAAACATTTAAAGAGCAGTCCAAGTTAAAATGATATTTCAATTGCAGTTTGACACATTTTGAAATGCAAAAATGTGGGAATTCGATATTGCTCATAAAGTGTTTCGCCCTGTCGCAGCATCAGATACGAATGCATTTGCAGGGATGTTTGAGTATATTGTGTTTGTATTTCAGGTGACAAGCTCACAGAAGACAGCAAAGAGGTCGGACCGGGGACGGAAATCTAAGAGGCAATGGTTGGCACTACTCCAGCCAATCACTGTGAATGTCTTCATTACGGACAGGAGTGAATGGGAGACTCCACCAGTTAGGTCTGCCTATCATCCACACTAGATCCGCCCACCTGTTGACCTCCACTCCCCTAGGTGGAGCCAAGGCCTGAGAGACTTCTTAACTGAACTAGCTCATGTGCCAAACTCTAGTGGTAGTCAGCTGCAGTGATTGAGTTTTAAATGATCTCCAACAACAACACCATGATACCCGTTAGAAGTCACCTACCCTGTATCCCTGCTAAATTATAGATTAGCATTCATTTACGTATTTATTTGCTTTGGACCAAAGTCTTTCATTCCTTCCTATACAAAGGATCTTCTTTGATGTATATCAGCATACTTTAAGTGAAAATGGATTTCAAATGTAAATGAACTAGAGTGCATAATGGCTACTTTGCCTATGTAGATTTTAAACCCTACACAATGTGCAGTAGATCTCCGTGTGTTTACACGTACACACAATATAATAGGGTTTCCTTTTTAACACGCTTTCCAGACATACACGTTTGCACATATTCTTTGCCATTCTCTGCTGCTTATTTACAAGTGTTCGTCAGAGCTGCTGTAAATGTAGCTTTCTTTGCCTTAGACATTAATTTGTACTTACACTATATGTACGTCACAATTTAAATGACGTTACTCTTATGTACATGTTTGGACCCTCGTTATTTTTCCCATTATATGTATCTGTTACTTTCCTTAGGCGAAACTCTTTGGTGCTTCAGAGTCTGTTAATCACTGTATTCTATTACAAATCTACTGCTATTCCTTTGATGTTTGAGTATTGGTCATAAAATATAAATAATCTGTCTGGGAATGGGAATGAATGCAGCACAGTATCACTTAATTTAAGCATTAAAGGCAGTTATTTCTATATCTGTGCTCTGTTGATTCATTAAATGAACATATTTAGGATCCAGCCTTGACACAACACTGATTTCTTGTGGGTGGATGTCAAGCACCAAAGGCTCTTTCAGTTGAATGCTGTGTTGACACAAGAAATAGTTATTCTAACTCGACAGCATCCACAGCTCTGAGCAGTCTGCTAGATCCCACTTGTCTTTCATCTCATTCCTCCTAATTATTATTTTTATTTATTTATTTCGCACAACCACAAAAAAAAAAGATATTAAAAACAATACATATGGATTATACAGGAGAGGTAAGAAACCCCCAAGGGCTTATAGTAAAACCTCCCCTCTGGATTTTCAATTAATACTACACCAAATTATTATAATAAATAACAGCAATCATCAAAATAATGACAGACAATTAAAGACAACATACATACAGAAATTTGAACAATCACACAAGTGTTTTTTCATGCTTGACTTAAATACTGACAAAGATGAGCTAGTTTTAATAAAACGAGGAATAGTATTCCAAAGTGACGGTCCTCTATATTTTATGGAAAATTGACCAAGAGTTGTATGATAATAGGGAAGATGAACATTCATTGCCTGTCGGGTTGGATATGAATGGACATCCGAGTTAATTAAAAAATAGTTATTAAACACTTTTGGGAGGCTATGATTTTGAACCATATATTTGTACATAAAGATACATGTTTGATAGATATTTATGCTGAAAATAGATAAAACATTTAATTGCTTAAACAGAGGAGCCGATGGTTCACACCGACTTATTATCATTATTATTCTTTTGATTAACTGTTGGAACATTTTTAAATCTGTTATAATGTTATCGTTCTTACAGTTTGCAAAAAACAGTGTCTGCGGTAAGAAATCTGATTTTAGGAATGCCGTTAAAATGATTATTTTTTATTTTTATTTTAAACTTTCAAGCAAGGCTATACTGTTCATTCAAAGTTCACCTTGACAAACTTTCCTATTGGGGTTATTTGAGTACACTAAAGAGCAGGCAGGATCAGGATCACAAGCTGAGGCTCGGAGGCTCCTATCCACTCGTTTATCAATGCGGAAGTGAGCTATTTCCTGTGAATGTGTGTGACTTCCGATTCATTCGCTGCTAAGGCAAATAACTAAGAATAACAAAATGCAGTGAATGGCAAAACTATTTGTGCTACAAACCAGTGTGTTTGTGATTATAATAATAAATGAAAATAATGTGATAGCAACAACAAGCAGCACAATGGACTGTTTTTGTACGACTAAAATTACTGGAAGTGGCTGCCACAGGAAACCTTGCACATTCAAGTTAAAAATGTCCACATATTTTTACCTTAAAAATAGCCTTTTTGACTCCAAGGCCCCCCATTGTTCACAACAATATTAAAAGGTGTTTGTTTGTTTTTTCAGTTGAGACACATTTTCAGTTGGACCCTCATTCACTTTGATTCCCTGCTTGATTCCCTTGTTCACTTTTCTCTAAATTACCAATTCATTGAATGCGAAAATGAAAATGACTCAGCGAATTTGGACACTGAGCACGACCAAAGTGCTGGATACAACATCTTTTGGTGACACGTGGGAGTTTAATTAACACATCGATCACAGTGCATAGGTATTCTCTAGCGGCTGGCTGTTAAGTATACATCGGTTGTACACTTGTTAATGAGGTGCAAGATTGAATGAGTGCACTCTAGTATCCATATAGTTATAAATGTCTGTGCCTCAAATATTACATTATATAAGTGAATGTCAGTTGGGTCCAAAATAAAATTGTACCCCATTTACATTGTACATAGATAGATAGATAGTTAGATACGTGGGTGGGTCCATCTTTTGGACATTCATCATATTGCATTGGTTTTCATTTCTTGATTCACTAATCTTACACATTCTACATTGATTAAAAAAGAAAATCGAATGTGTTTTTAATGGTAGTATTATTTTATACAGAAATCAATTATTTATAATTCAGATGAGAATAATGTTACATTGTTAATTAATAATGTTAATTAAAATTAAGGAAAACAAATATATTGATCTGAAATATAGCAAATTAATTTTAAACTAATTCAGGTACACTACCAAACATATCGCAAGGTCTTTTTGTCTTTTTATTAATTTAATTATTAAACTAATTATATAAAACTATTGTCAGTGCACTACAAATAAACTGTTTCTATGCCTTTATTAATAAAACTTATTTAAAAAATACAATGCCTTCTGCATTTTTGTTTTGCTTTTCCCTCCATTGTACCGAAATCGTACCGAACCGTGACTTCTGTGTACCGTTCCACCCCTAATAGATAGATAGATAGATAGTCTTTTTATATTCCATAGAAGAAAAAAATTCATACAAATTTGGAAGGACTTGTTCACACCATGAAAACTATAACTATATTGTCCACACCAATACACAGGATGAGGAGGAGGGAGGGCCGACCTAGCCTCCGTTTTGTTTTACAATACTTGTAGTCACCCAACATCGCTTAGAGCAACTTTAAATGCTCGAACTCTTAAAAGCTGCAGTCTGGCGTTTTTCCTCTTTGTCGCCATCTCTGTTCGAAATCTGCAATTGCAGTCATTCGCGGAATTATCAACTTAACGTGAGTTGTGCATCAACACCCTCGACACGGCACAGCGCGGATGAACACAGTGTTTGAGGAGACTGTGAGGCTGTCAGTCACAGCGCTGATGTGGAGACTGGCATTCAGAATCACAGATTATTATTTTTGGAAGTATGACCAACATGAGAATTTTCACTGGAAAATTTCATCTGAACTAGTAAGAAACATCCACCTTTGTTCTGGTTCTGACATTGCAGTAAATCGCGCTGATTAAATCTAACAATCGCTTATAAGTTATCACGCAAAACCGTGCAAATTATACTTTGTTCTCAAATTGTTAATGTTAACAACGTAAGCATTGCGTGACTACATGTAATGCCCTTGCTATATTATCCTTGTTTTCGCATGGGCCGGTTGCTGTCTCTTTTTTTCTGTAGCCACTCCGAAGTCCGAACGAAGTCTTTTGCTTTTTACAACGCGTGAATCTCGAGTTGTCACTGGTGATTGTCGTTTGAACCTTTCTGGATCTGCCATCAAATTGATAAGTTTAATTATATCAAGTGCTGTGAGAAAAGGCTATAAATCTCCACCTCCAGGATCCTCACTGCAATATACTAGCCGAGACTCCTTCTTTATGTGTACAGATGTGACGTAATGACACAAAGACATGCTCGAATCTCCCGCGGAAATCCACCAGTACCACTGGAGTTAAAAACATTATTACAAGCTTACCGCTTTGAATCGAGCTAAGGCAAGCAGATAGCTTTGAACACTGGCTGGTTATGTATTTTCTCAAATACGTATTTTGGATAATTTTTAACCCAAAAAAGCTACGGACTGCAGCTTCTGATTGGCTGTCAATGCTTTTATCTGCTTTTAGCTGGAAAAAAATTGTAGTGAAAGTGATTGCAATCGTTTTTACAAAGCCCCTTAAGGACTAAATGGACATGGTGGGAAAAAAACATGAGATGAGAGGAAAAATATGTCAATTTGATATATTTTTTCCTCCAGTCTCAAAGTCTCCAGTCTTTTGCGTTCCCCCAAGAAACTATGCATTCGTTCACGAAACGTTTTTTTCCCCCCCGAGAAAGCTCTGCGAAAGGTTTTGCAATCAAAATCAAAGTTTCTAGTGGGATTGCAATTTTTTTGCAAGATTGCAAAAGCATTGAAATATTTTTTTTTCTCCCATTCCATATTTTTTCCCACCAGCATGTCCCTTTAGTGACTAGCTGTGGTGTTGACTATTATGGCTATACATTTAGAACAATTTTTAAAACTATTTATTGTTGTCGATATGTTTATCGTCCTTGCGGACCTTAAGAATTTTCATTTTTGGATGAACTGTCCCTTTAAAATTAATTTGACTCTATTCAAAGATGGGCTCATTCATTTCACAGAATGCACAATCCTACCCTTTCCCAGTCCCAACGTCGCTATCTCCTCTCTAAACGAAGCAGAGGACCAAGCATAGAGAGCTGTCACGTCGCGTTTGTGCTCTCCATGGAGACTGACTCTCTCCGGACAGAGCACTAAAAGCAAATCGTCAGGCGGCTCCTGAGAAATGAGCCACTGTTGAGTTCAGCCACCTCCAGTGAGAGTGGCGACCTGACAGGCCGGAGATGATTTCACTCATTTTCTGCCAATGCTGCTGGCAGAGTGACCTTGTTTGGAGCCGCAGGTTTCCGAAAATAAACTTGTCACTCTCAAAGGATCTCGAAAGTATAAAGCTCGCTCGAGTGAGAGATATTGCTAACCGTTCCCTGTCACGAAAGCTGCAGGTATGAGTCGGCTCTGATTTAAGTGTTCCTACGCATGCTCATGCACCCACACGCGCAGAAATACACAACTGCAGTGCAGCCAACACACTTGAACATTCTTAAAGGCTTTTTCCCGTGACTCTGTGAATAATTAAGGTTGGAACCGTAGGTGGACCAAACATGTCGTGTTATTTTGAAGACA